GTGGTTCCTGCTCGCGCTTTCTTGGGGTTGTCTTGGAGCCATCATGAGCCATCTTGAAAGGATTCTGAAACCATCGCGGCCGAAAACAAAATATTTGCCCGCTATTGTTCGCGCGGGCGCTGTTGCCTGGGGGTTGTTCCTCCCAGGGAAAAATGCCGCATGGGCAACCCTACACGCGTGAGGATTTTTGAGGACTTTCGTAAGACGGGTGCTTTGAGGGAAACCGTTGCAAGGATGGAGGGCGCATGTCGATCAAAGTGCAGCTCTCGCCTCAGCGCCGCGCACGCTCGTCTTAAAAGTTGGCAACAGTTCCAAGGACGGAGCGCGCATGTTGTTCGAAGTGCAGATCTCGCCTTAGCGCCGTGCACTCTTGGTTTAAAAGTTTGCATTCGTTTCAAGGATAGAGGCCGCACGTTGATCAAAGTGCAGCTCTCGTCTCAGCGCCGCGCGCATTCGTCTGAAAAGCTTGCAGCAGTTACAAGGATGGAGGGCTGGTGTGGTTCAAAGTGCAGCTCTCGTCTCAGCGCCGCGCACTCTCGTCTTAAAAGTTTGTAACAGTTACAAGGATCGAGGGCTTGTGTGGTTCAACATCCAGCTTTCGCCTTAGCGCCATGCACATGCGTCTTCGTTTTCGTCGTCGCATCGCTGTCGTAGTCGCAATCGCACACGTACTCGTTATCGTCTTCGTCTTCGTCTTCGTCGTCGGACCGCCCGAACTATAATTATTTTCCGCTATTGTCGGGCGGGGTCGTTTTTTTTTTCCGAGTTGTCAATGCATTCGCCCGAAAGATATTTATTTTCCATCTACTGGCCAGGGGATTTCTAAATATTTAAAGGGGTTAAGGGAAAGAGGGAGAGAAGGAGAGAGAGAGAGAGAGGGAGAGGGGGAGAGAGAGAGATAAAGATAGAGAGAGGGAGGGATGACGAGAGAGTGCCATATGGAGGTATAGATGTATGTATTCATGTATTTATTTGTATATCTATATATATAGAGAGAGAGAGAGAGAGAGAGAGAGAGAGAGAAAGAGAGAGAACGAGAGAGACAGAGAAAGAGAGAGAGAGATAAACATAGAGATATATGATGTATGTATACAGATACATAGAGCGAGAGAGAGAGAGAGAGAGAAAGAGAAAGAGAAAGAGAACGAGAGAGAGAGAGAGAGAGAAGGATACAGTGATAAAGAGAGGCATCGTATTGACAATGCACAGGGAAGACGGAGAAGAAGCCGACGATGACATTACACAAAATCTGTATGTATGATACTTGAGGGGGGACCATATATATATATATATATATAGATATTTGTATACATACTTTTATGTATATATATGTAAATAGACATATGAGTTTGCATAAGTACACGTATATGCAGATGTAATGTTGATACGTGTGTACATGTACATGTTTGTGTAAATGTACATGTGCATGTATATGCATACGTGTCTGTATACGTGTATGAACATGCTAATGTATATGTACGTGTGCATGTGCATGTGTATGTCTATGTACATGCATATCCATATGTACATGTACTTGTATACATGTATATATCTGCATATGTATTTGCATATGTGTATATGTGTATGTGTATGTGTATGTCTATGTATGAGTGTATGCATGGATGCATGTATGAATTCATACACGTATATTTGCATCGTATGTATAGGTGTGTACATATATACATACAGTGCGATATTCACGCGTTTGTTTAAAACGCGCGGTTTGTAAAATGGTTCATTCGAAAACACCATGCGGACCACATGCGCGTGATTCCGTGTGTGAATATAGCATCATTATATTCAGCGGTTGGTTTCTCAAGCATTTAACACACCGCTGGTCAACATCTTTCAACTGGCCCCCGTCGCTTCCCAGGTTCAGGAGGGACCGCGACGACAAACCCAGCCGGGCGGACGAGGACGGCAATTGGTTCTCGCGCGGCGGCGGCGGCGACGGGCCGCCCAGGGACAGGGACCGGGGAGGCTTCGGCGGCGACCGCGATCGCGACCGCGGCGGAGGCGGTGGTGGCGGGCGCGGCTTTGGCGACCGGGACCGCGACCGCGGCGGCGGCCGGGGCGGCGACGACGTGGAGGCGGACAAGGACAACGACTGGCGGGGCGGGGACCGCGGTGGCGGCGGCGGGCGCGGGGGCTTCGGCGACAGGGACCGCGACAGGCCAGCGGCGCGCTTCACAAAGGGTGGCGTCGTCCTCCTTCTCCACCTCCTCCTCCTCATCCTCCTCGTCCTCCTCCTCTTGCTCTTCTTTTTCCTCCTCCTCCTCCATGTCCTCCGTCACATCCCTCCTCCTATTTCTCTTTCTATCCGTTCTTCTCCTCCTCCTCCTCCTCTTTCCTCTCGTCCTCCTTATATCCCTCCTCCTATCCCTCCTCCTGTCCCTCCTCCCTGGCGCCGAGGGGAGCCGCGCCCTCCAGAGGATGGCGGGGGCGGCTTCCCCCAGGAAGGGCCCAGGGAGGCCTCTGGAAGGTCTGCGGCCTCCGAGAGGGCCCCCCCGCCTCTTGGGGAGGCCCCCCCCCCTCGCCCACCCGGGCCTGCGACGAACGTGGCTTCCCCGCCCCACATCCGCCGCCCACAGGCCGCGGGGTCCGGGCCCCTCGCCTCCTTCCTCGAGGTTGTCTCCTCCTCCCTGGACGTGCGGCCCCCCGCCCTCTTTGTGCCGGGCGGGGCGAGGACAAGGATATAATAGTCCGTGCGTGCCGGAACGCTCCGAGAAGGCCGCGGTGCCCGATGCATCCTCTAGAGCTGTTGGGAGTTCTCGGGGATCCCCGATTCAGCCTTGTCTAATTTTGACCTTGTCCTGGCTTCGCCGCATTGTGTGCGCCGCCAACCAGGGACCGGGACCGCGGCGACCGCGGCGGCTTCGGCGGAGACCGGGACCGTGACCGGGGCGGCGGCGGGCGCCGGGACGACGACCGCGATTGGGGCCGCAGCGGCGGAGGCGGCGAGTCAAGGAGGCCCGTCTTGCAGCTCAAGGCCCGCACCGTGCCGCTGCCAGGCGGCGATGACGGTGACTGGGTGGCACAGCACGAAAGTGCCGGCGTTGTGCTCAGCTGCTCTGACCTCCCCAGGCCCCCGGCGTCGCGAAGAAAAAGCGTTGTAGCGGACTTTTTCCCATGTGTTCGGCCTCTGGAGGCCTGTGTCTCGGGCCCCAGGGCAGTCAGGAAGCGACCCACAGGGCGAGCCACATGGCCAGGAGACGGGGTCGAGGGATCGACGACCCCTGGGAACAGGAATGCGACTTTCTTGCAGGTCGTGTCGAAGAATCGTCCAGGCCTGCCTGCTCTCTGTGGTATCCACTCGCCACCTCTTCCACGCCTCTTCTACCGCCTCCCCCTCCCCACCCTCCCCCTCCCTGCGTGCTCCCTCTCCCCCTCCCCCCCCCCTCCTCTTCACAATCCCTGCTTCCTCTTCCTCCTCCCCTCCTCGTCCTCCTCTGCCTCCTCCTCCCTGACTCGCCCTCTGGGTACGTTCGCTCTGCCTCCTCCTCCCTGCTTCTTCCTCTTCCTCCTTCTCCTCCTCCTCCTCCTCCTCCTCCTCCTCCTCCTCCTCCTCCTCCTCCTCCTCCTCCTCCCCCTCCCCCTCCCTCCTCCTCCTCCTCCTCCTCCCTGCTCTGCCTCCCTCCCCCTGGAGAAGAGAGGCAGGAGCTGCAGGCGGGGAGGGCGGGCGCGGGGAGCCCCCCCCCCACCCCCCCAGGTGACACCGGCAGGTCCGCGGCGGCCGACCGCCCCTCCCCCTTCGGGGCGGCCAGGGCGGGCTCCTCCGCGAAGAAGGGCGACAAGAAGGACTCGGCCTCGGGCCACCGGGTCCTCTGCAAAAGGGGTCTCTTGGCATCGCTCGGACGTGTGCATTTTTCTCTCGGCGAGGGCCATCGAGGAGCATCCTTGATCATTTTGCGAAAAAAAATCAAGCACGCACGAAACCGGCAAAATCATAGGGAATGGACGTCCGAGCGATGGCCAGGTCTCGAACGTGTGCGCAGCAGGCGGAGGAGGAACAAAAAGGGCATGACCATAAACATGCGGCGCTCCACGCGGATTTCTTGGGTCGGCGCAGGGCCCCCCTGGCGGCGACTCCGGCGCCGCCCCTGGCGCGCTCCGCGCGCCAGGGAGGGGGGTCAAGCGCAGATCCAATCAATCCGCGCGGACCGTCGAACGTATGTTTTTTTTTTTTTTTTTTTTTTTTCTTTTGTTTTGTTTGTCCTCTTTTCTTCTTCTTCTTATTATTATTCTTCTGCTTCTGCTTCTTCTTCTTCTTCTTCTGCTTCTTCTTCTTCTTCTAACAGTTCATGCAATCGCTTGCGCAGTATCATTGCGCATGTCGTGCAATAACAGCACGCGGCTGCCACCCTTTGCCCGGAACCAGAGGGCGGGGAGCGGGTGGAGCCCAGATCGGGGGCTCCCAAACGGCTCGGTGACCGCACCCTGCGGTGCCTCGGTGGGGATGCGGAGTGGCCGCACGGTCTTGGGGCTCGGGTCGTTCTCCGAGGATGTCTTGGGCGACCGGGGCCTCCGAGTTCCCATAACGGTGCGGTGAAGGACTGTGCGGTCAGGTCTTTTGGGCCTTCGAGGTCACCGCACGGTCTGTCACCGCGGTACCGTCTTGGGACCCTCAACCAGACCTCAGGCGACTCGAGGAGCTCGCGCCAGAGCTGTCTCGCAATCGTCGGCTTCAGCGGGGGGCGTTTCCTGAGCCCAGGGGGACGTCAACAAAACGGCGGGGCATGGAACGCTGGCCTTGGGGAAGGGGTCGCCGGCTCGGGAGGGTCAGCGGCTCGAGCACAAACGAAGACGGGTCGACGGAGGTCTTGAAGGATGGAGTTCGGAGGGAGGAGGCTGATTGGGAGGCGACAGAAAACAGCCCGCAGGGCGAAACCCATACGCACGGTAGGGTCGAGAGCCGCTGGGGACTTCTGCGAGCGGAGATTGTTCGAGGTTGAAATGGTTCAAGCGGCGTCGGAGAAGTAGGGCCCCCATTTTCAATGCAGGAGTCTGCCGCACACCGACCCGGGTCAAGCCCATCCTGGAACCAGGATCGGTTTGGCCAGTTCCCGCCGAAGCCTTCCCAGAGCCATCGGAAGTCCTCCAGCCCCCTCCGAGGCTATTGGGCCCTGAGGCCGTCCGAAACCTTCCGATCCCCTTCGAGGCTATCCAAGGCTTCCGTGCGATGTCCGACGACCTCCGACGACCTTCCGAAGGCCTCCGACGCTTTCCGGACCCCCCCCCAAAAACTTCCGAGGCCTTCCGAGGGTCATCTGAGGGCCCTCCGAAGGCCCTTCGAAGGCCCTTCGAAGGCCCTTCGAAGGCTTCCGAGGCCCGCCATACGCCCCCGACGCCCTCCGAGGGCCATGCGAGGGCCCCAGCATATCTGGCCGAGCCCATCCGTCCGAGGGCCCCTGGTCGCCCTCCCCCCACCCCCGAAGAGGACGAGGACGGCTCCGAGGACGAGGACGGCGGCAGCACGCCCGCGGGCAGGGAGGACGCGTCGGGCTCCGAGGACGAGGAGGCACGCGGCGCCTCCTCCTGTCGCTCCTCCTGATCGTCGTGCTCCTCCTCCTGCTCCTCCTCCCCGTCCTCCTGCTCTCCTCCTCCCCCTCCTCGCCCCCCTCCTCCTCCTCCTCTCCTCCTCCTTCCTCCTCCTCCTCCTCCTCCTCTCCTCTCCTCCTCTCTCTCTCTCCTCCTCCTCCTCCTCCTCCTCCTCCTCCTCCTCCTCCTCCTCTCCCCTCCCTCCTCCTCCTCCTCCTCCCCTCCTCCTCCCTCCTCCACCTTCTCCTCCTTCCTTCTCCTCCTCCTCGTCCTCCTCGTCCTCCTCTCCTCCCTCCTCCTCTCCTCCCTCCTCCTCCTCCTCCCCCTCCTCCTCCTGCTCCGCCTCCTCCTCCCCCTCCTCCCTCCCTCCCTCCTCATCGTCCTCTTCTGATGATGATGGTGATGATGATGCTGCTGTTGATGGTGCTGATGATGACGATGATGATGATGACGATGATGATGATGATGATGATGATGATGATGATGACGATAGTGATGATGATGATGATGATGCTGATGATGATGATGATGATGATAATGGTGATGACGATGATGATGATGGTGATAATGCTGATGAGAATGAATGACGCTGATGATTATTACTCGTGTTATTAAGATGTTGCTGATGATGACGATGCTGCTGATGATGACGACGACGATGATGATGATGCTGATGATGATGATGATGACGATGATGATGACTGCTGCTGCTGATGATGAGGATGGTAAGGATGCTGACGATGACGAGGCTGATGCTGATGCTGACGATGACGATGATGCGGATTCTTAGTAGTAGTAGTCTTATTCTTTTTTTATACTATCATTATTACTAGTTCATGTTATGCTTACTTTTAGTATTGCTATTCTTGATACGACTAGCATCATTTTTGAGGTTGTTATGATTGTCTTTATTTTTATGTGTATTCGTATTATTGCTATTCTTACTTTTGTTCTATTAGTAGTATTCGTCGTCGTCGCCGTCGTATCAGTTTTATTCTTATTATTATTCGTGTTCTTCGTCTTCTTCTTCTTTAGCCTCTTCGTCCTCTTATTCTTCTTCTCCCCCATCCCTCCTCTTGTTTCTCCCCCTCCTCCCTCCTCCCTCCCTCCCTCCTCCCTCCCTCCCTCCCTCCCTCCCTCCCTCCCTCCCTCCCTCCTCCCTTCTCCCTCCTCCCTCCTCCCTCCCCTCCTCCCTCCTTCCTCCTCCTTCCTCTCTCTGCCCTCATTCCTCTTCCCTCCTCCCTCCTCGTTCCTCCCTCCTCCCTTCTCTCTTCTTCCTCCTCCTCCTCCTCCTCCTCCTTCTCCTTCTTCCTCTACCCCTCCTCCTCCTCCTCCTCCTCCTCCTCCTCCTCCCCCTCCTCCCTTTCCTCCTCCTCCTCCTCCCTCCTTCCTCCTCCTCCTCCTCCTCCTCCTCCTCCCTCTTTTGCTTCCTCCCTGCTGCATCTCGTTCTCCTCCTCCTCGTCCTCGCGTCTCTCCTCCTCCTCCTCACCTCCTACTCCTGCTTTTCCCTCCGTCTCGTCCCCTCCTCCTCCCTCCACTGCCCTTCGCCTCCTCCCCCTTTTCCACTACCTCCTCCTCCTCCTCCTTCCTTCTCCTCCTCTCGTACCTCATACCCATACCCTCCTCCTCCTCCTCCTCCACTCCTCCTCCTTCTCTGATTCCTCCTTCTCATCCTTCTCCTCCTCCTCCTCCTCCTCCCTACCTTCCTCCTCCTCCTCCTCCTCCTCTTCCTCTTCCTCCTCCTCCGCTTCTTCCGTCTCCTCCTCCGCCTCCTCCTCCCTCCTCCACCTCATTCTCCTTCTCCTCTTCCTTCTCCTCCTCCTCGTCCTCCTCGTTCTCCTCCTGCTCCGGCTCCTGCTCCTGCTTCCCCTCCTCCTTTGTCTCCTTCTCCTTCTCCCTCTCCCTCCTCCCTGCCTGCCTGCCTGCCTGCCTGGCTCCCTCCCTCCCTCCTCCCTCCCTCG